TTTTTAGATGATTTTTAAAGACCTCTACAGTGTTAGAGAGACGGAGATTTGAAGGTAGACTGTTCCAAAGTCTGGGTGAAATAGTCTGAAAGGCCCTGTCCCCTTTGGTTTTCAGTCTGGTTCGAGGAACAGCCAGGAGGTTTTCAGATGTGGATCTAAGGTTCCGAGAGGTGGTGTGTGGGGATAAAAGCTCAGATAGGTAGCTTGGAGCCTGGTTGTTAAGAGCTCTATAGGTCAGGACTAAAACTTTAAACTGTATTCTATCTTCTACCGGGAGCCAGTGGAGGGATTGTAAAACTGGAGTGATGTGAGCTCGTCTGCTGGATTTGGTTAGGAGTCTGGCTGCTGCATTTTGGATGGCTTGAAGGCGTGAGAGGGAGGTTTTGCTGAGACCAGTAAAAAGAGCGTTACAGTAGTCTAAGCCTGATGACACAAAGGCATGGATGATTTTTTCCAGATCTGCAGTAGAAACCAGTTTACGGACTTTTGAAATGTTTCTCAGTTGAAAGAAACAAGAGCGGGAGATGGTTTTGACGTGTGAGTCTAAACTTAAAGCTGGATCAAAATTAACTCCCAGGTTTCTAATGTTGGCCTTGGCTGACGGGCAAAAAGAGGCAATTTCTTGCTCGATTTTTGGCTGAAGTTCCGGGGGTGCAGCGATCAGGGTCTCTGTCTTGAGAGAGCGATGGACTCAGGCGAGCCGGAGGCTCTGACTCAAGCCTCGTCCCTCAGATCATCACCACGACAACAACAACTTGACGTTATCAGATACGACATCTCTTGACAGCAGGTCCTTTCAAACTTCCTTTGCTAGGATCCTCATTTGACTGTGGCAGAAAGTAAAAACAAAAAATAACCAGCGTGACCCAACGCTAGGTAGAAGACAGTGGGTGAGCTGAATACATGCCCCCCGGGGCGCCCTGCACGAGGGAATCCACAGCAACACAGATGAAAGGAACTCAACCAAGTTTTTAACAGGTTAGAAGCTCAAACACTAAATCTTCAGATCAGTTTTGGTGGTTTAAAAGGTTTCCAGTCAGGATTTCTGTCAGAGGCGAGAGAAGTCCTCGCTTCTCTGCCTCCGTAGCTTCACAGGAACAAGAAGAGGAAAGAGAGGTGGCTGATAGCGTCTGATAAAGTCAGAGAAAATCTGATAGATGACGTGTTATAATCCTAAATACAGCTGGACGCCGTTCTCATCTGATTAATAGAAACCTGACCAGAAACAGGACGAGTGCGGACGAGGCGTGAGACGACACGCTCGTGGAAGGCCGGGGGCCAAAGAGGAAGCAGAAACAGAAATATTAGCTAATCGTCTTTTGATTAGAGTAAATCCTCACATTCACTTGGATCAGGCTGATATTTGTTTGTTTCAAAGAATATTACGAAGGAAATTTGATTAAAAAAAGTTCAATAAATAAAACTAGATCTATTCAACAGCTTCTTCTTTATTTACTTTTGCTACACGTTGGTCGATTAAATTAAACGAGAACAAAGTGATTATTAAAATAACAAAGCCTCCAGTTTGAGGTACAAAGAGAAGAGCTGTTGAGGTGGAAAAACAGAAAGTGTTCCACCCAAATGCAAACTTCTCATCTCTAAAAGCCACAGCTGGTCCGGCCACCGGCTCTGATGGACAACAGAAGATCGTCACCATGGGTCACCTACCTGATCCAGGGGAGCGTTGGCTCTGGGGGTCTAACAGGCAGCTGACTGGAGGCCAGCGACTGACTACCAGCAAGGAGGCTGATGGCCACTAGAGCAACTTCTTCAACCAGCAGCAAAGTTTAGGGCTGGGAGATGGTCTGTGGGAGGGGTTGGAGACAACTTCATGAAAGACACACCTCTTTGGTCCACAGAGAGGAGAAACAACCTTACAGGATGGCAGACGCTACTGTAGTCCATGATGTCCACAAACGACGTCCCATCAGAGGTTTGTGGTGTGGACCTGTGAGGCGGTTTGGAGTCTTGCTCCTGCGCTCCTCCTTCACGGCCCCGTCTGCTGCTTGCGTCGGGTTGATAACATGCTGGACTTCCACAGAGGATGCAGCAGTTATAAAAGCACCAAACCACCCACTACTGTCCAGACATTTCAGCTAGATGGACTCAAATTTATGCTTCAAGTTTAAATGTTGTGCATTTTAATTTAAAAGGAGTGAACCTCGCTGCAGCTGCGTGTTTCTGACGTGCACACAGCTCCCGATGAGACTGAGCCCACACGGAAAGGAGTTTGAAACACTGGAACAAAGCAGAGGTAAAATGCAAAGACACAATTTCTTTGTGGTCCGGCGAAGCTTGGAGTGGAACACAGTAATGCAAATTGGGAAAGGAGCAGCAATCATGGAGGAGAGATATGGCCTGGCGGCGCACAAACCCTTCGCTGTCCCAGTCATTTGGTAGTCAAAACAGCTCCCCAAGTTTCCTCTCTCTTTGTTCTTTTACAGTTTTCAGGGAAATCAGGGGAGGAAACAACTGTCGTGAAGAATTGGAGCATTATTTTATTTAACGCCAAGCGCTTTTCTGCCATTTAAGAAACCACAGCAGTTAATGTGGAATTATCTCTCGGGTGACGGCGGTGGACCAGATAAACAGCATCAGTTAGGTCTGATGCAAATCAACATGTAGGTCATGGCAGCTGTGGCCATTGTAGCTTTACTCCTCACTGTGGATCCGGCTGCGACGGAGGAAGAACATCCAAAGACATCAGTCTCAACAGCAGCAACCTTCACCGGGTGGGTCAATGAGACGAACATCAGGAGACACGTTTCCTCTTCATCGGGCCTGCTACAGGCTGGACGGGATCCAGGCGTGGGTCAGAGTTCGACGGTACATTTGAGCTGAATCAAATGAATCGAACAAAATAAGTCAGGATGGTTTGATTCCTCTAATAAACAGCCTGGAGCTTCGGGGCCATTTTTACTGAAGCTCTAAGAAAGTCTTCATTGGGTGAACACTTTTGGAGTCAATCCAATTCAAGATGGCCACCACAGCTACAAAAGCACACAACCTAAAATTCAACAAATACTTTGATTTGATTTATTTTCACAATGAAGAAACAAAACGTGACGTACGTGTTAACAGATCCCCTCGGGGGACCATCCAGCAGAAAGCTCCAGATAAACATCAACATTTATGCTAGTAGCTGAGAGACGTTCATTGCAGAGTGCTAAGCTTTGTTTTCACAATACTTCGAAAAATTCTGGCACAAAAGGCAGTTAAACGAATTCCTGAGAGGAAAACCGGAACTTTATTTCTTTGTTTTGTTTTGTTTTACGATCCTGCACAAGAAGCAGCTGCAGATTAAGATGAGAACGAAGGGAAAGGAGATTGTAAAATATAGATTACAGGTGAGGGGAGGTGAACGGCCCAGTGGATGATGGGTTTGAGCGGGGGGCAGCAGTAGATCAGGAGGTAGAGTGTGTGTCCAGCAATCAGAGGGTTGTGGGATCGGTCCCAGCTCCTGACAGAGAACCCTGCTGTTGTGTCCTTGGGCAAGGCACCCAACCCACTCTGCCTGCTGGTGGCAGCCAGAGGGGCTAGCAGCACCCATACTCAGCAGCCCTACCAGTGAGCCCCAGGGCAGCTGTAGCTGCATTGTAGCTCATCACCAGCGTGTGGAAGTGCGTGAATGGCTGCACTACAGTGTAAAGCGCTTTAGAGTGCTGTTACTCTGAAAGGTGCTGAGCAAATGCAGGTTATTTCTCATTTAACTGGACTGAGCTGTAATGTTGAATGGAGAGGCCCACTGAGCTCACCAGCTGGTGTTTCTGAGCACGCTCAGAAGGAGACAGGCCTTTGTGGCGTTGTGGACAGCTGGGCAAGGATGTGGCGCTGTGCGGACGGCCTGCTCTGCCCTGATAAGTTCTTATCAAGATGGAAGAAGGAGGCCAGGAATTAAAGGCTGTTACACACACACACACACACACACACACAGCAGGAGGCTCAGGCCCACAGGAGCCTGCAGAGACGCTCTGCTGCATCTTCACACTTGTATCTTTAGCTGACTTTACGGTGTGAAGCTGGGCAGTTGGGAGGAGGTTGCTGGGCCGGTTGGAGCTGGCTGACGGACGACGTTGTGTGTCATCGGTGGACTTTGAAAGCAGCCTTCAAATTCCTATGAAACAGCCTTCTGTGAAGGCGAGGTCTTATCTCTGCAGTGCAGAGCTGCAGCAGTAGAGCTATACCCAGGAGAGCGCTCCCTCTCTCTAATTCACACACACACACACACACACACACACACACACACACACACACACAGAGATCTGTAATAAAGTCACACACGATAACTGTGATGTCAAAGGTCACGCCCTCACTACAACATACACTCCTGTCAGAGTGAAACTGGCGCTGCTGGTGTCTCCTTTTTCTGTTTGTAACTTCACTGATCTGTTGCTCAGCATTTTCCATGCATCTTAGATAATGTTGGAGAAGTTGTATCATTAATGAGATAAAAATGTCTTTTTATCTTTCCTTGAAACTGCGGGTTTATTTCATGGTGGAAACACGTTAAATAGAAGCATTTTGTTTGTAAACACAGATAATAGACCCTTCTTCGTGTGTCTGAATCTGCTGGTTAAGTGTATTCTGATAATGTTTTGGATCGTTTAAGAAAAACATCGTAATAACTTTTTTATCTGCGTTGTTATGTATTTAAATGGTACGTGTCGTGTGTGATTAATCTCTCTCTTTTTAAGTAGCCTCATACTTTTAGAGCTTTTATTAATAATAGGTTTCATATATTTTGCAGATTTTTACCTTCTAGTAAATGTTGTAAAATAAATGTAAATGTTACCTTCAGCTAAGAGAGAAAATAAACTGCCTCCATCAGAAAGCAGCACACGGAGACAGAAGGTGGGAGTGCTGCCCCCTAGTGGCCAAATGACATGACCGCCACGTTTTTTGCAGTGAAAAACTAAAAAAATTAATTCCTGCCAATAAAACTTTACACTAAATATGTTGTCTCATTACCTTTTACATTACATTTGAAATATTGTGAAAAGGCTCAATATTCTGGGCTCAAAGTGTCACATTAATCAGCTGATGAACCCATCTGCAAAGGGTTCCTGAGCATTTGGATCAGGGGTCCTCAACTAGAGTTGTTCAAGGGCCGGAGTTGGCCTTAAATGCAACAAAATCTTGAGCATCTGTGCTTATATATATATATATGAGATATATGTGATGTAGCTGTCCACTGTAGTGATCATTATGCATGAAGAGACAATTAATGTTTATGTCATTCTCCGTCTGTAGTGGTTGTTGCGGGGTTAAAAATGATGCATCTGAGTGATGCTTTCACAAGCGTAGGTCACAATTGGACAGCAATGCTGCAGGTAATAATAAACAAACATTACAGGAATCCTTTGGAGAGTAGGAAAAATGCAGAGAAACCAGATAAATGAATGCTGTTTGAATTCCACTTCAAATAGTTTCAAGCTGCAGCTGTTACGGGGTAAAAATCACTGTCCTTCTGATTTCCAATGAACACTTGAAGGCATCGTCCTCTAAGGCTGGTGTGGACCTAATCTGATCACAGTCTGAGAAGATGAGTGAAGGAAAGACTCCCATCTCCCTAAAGATGATCCTCATAGGGAATTCTGGGTAAACACGTTCACTCTCATCTCTCTTCAAAGACTTTGGCTTGTTGTTGTTGTTGGTGTTGGTGTTTGGTGAACAGCTGTTTCACTTTCACTTACCGCATGGAAGCTGATCGACCTTAACTTCTGCAGAATTAAAACATTAAACTTCATTTTAGAGAAGGCAGGATGTTTTAACATGTTTTCTCTTTTTCTCTCTCTGTGTGTGTGTGTGTGTGTGTGTGTACACAGGGTGGGAAAATCCTCTGTCATGAACAGATATGTGAACCATCGATTCACCAGCATGTACCGAGCCACCATTGGGACCGATTTTCTCTCTAAAACACTGGAAATAGACGGAGAGATGGTCACTCTGCAGGTAACACACCTGTCCACCTGACAGAAACACTTCAATCCAATTCAAGTCAATTTTATTTATATAGCGCCAAATCACGACAAGATTCGTCTCAAGGCACTTCACATAATAAACATTCCAATTCAGGTCAGTTCATTAAGCCAGTCAGAAATAATGTGTCCTATAAAAGGAACCCAGCAAATTGCATCAAGTCACTGACTAGTGTCAGTGACTATACAGCAATCCTCATACTAAGCAAGCATGCAGCGACAGTGGAGAGGAAAACTCCCTTTTAACAGGAAGAAACCTCCAGAGGATCCTGGCTCAGTATAAGCAGCCATCCTCCACGACTCACTGGGGATCGAGAAGACAGAGCAGACACACACACACACACACACACACACACACACACACACACACACACACACACGCACACGCACACACACACACAATAATGTGTCTACAGTTCTATTGTGATGTCTTAGTAAATATTCTATTTGGTGAGATAAACATCCAGCAAGCACACTCATGGTGTGTGTGTGTGTGTGTGTGTGTGTGTGTGCGCGCGCGTGCGTGCGTGCGTGCGTGCGTGCGTGTGTGTGTGCGTGTGTGTGTGTGTGTGTGTGTGCGTGTGTGTGCGTGCGTGTGTGTGTGTGTGTGTGTGTGTGTATGTGTGTGTGTGTGTGTGTGTGTGCGTGCGTGCATGTGTGTGTGTGTGTGTGTGCGTGTGTGTGTGTGAGATATGGGACACAGCAGGCACAGAGAGGTTCCAGTCTCTCGGAACGCCGCTGTACAGGGGAAGCCACTGCTGCATGTTGGTGTTTGACGTCACATCTGCTGCCAGTTTTGGAGCCCTGGACATGTGGAGGAAGGAGTTCCTGGTCCAGGGAGAACCTCAGGATCCATCTAACTTCCCTTTTCTCGTCCTGGGCAACAAAACCGACCTGAGCAACAGAGAGGTCAGCCAGGGTCACACAGCACAGATGTCACAGTTTCATCTAACTGAGGCTTCCACTTTTAAATTCAGGTGATCCTGGTTTGTTTTGGGGGCCCAGCAGAAGCACCTGAATTAGAATCTGGATCTTGTTTTTTATGGTTCTGTAACTTTTATATATCTATTAATAGCTGTCATGTCGAGTAGGGGCTTGGACCCAGAATGCAGAAACCCAGAACGAAACAAAGAGAGAGAGAGAGAGAGAGAGAGAGAGAGAGAGAGAGAGAGAGAGAGAGAGAGAGAGAGAGAGAGAGAGAGAGAGAGAGAGAGAGAGAGAGAGAGAGAGAGAGAGAGAGAGAGAGAGAGAGAGAGAGAGAGAGAGAGATGAAGTCAAATATGAATGTTCCTTCAGCGAGGCGGGTCGCAGCAAAATCCAGAGGAACCACGAGAATCAAACTCAGAAAGGCTGAGGAGGCAAAAACCACGCTGACAAGCAACAGCGGACCAACAAACACAGAAGACAAGACCGGGGCTTAAATCCACAGGGCTGGGTGATTGAGGGGATTGGGCCCAGGTGGGACTGATAAACTGAGAGGAGAAGCAGAACCAAGCAGGGGATGAACCCAGACCTAAAACCTGTAAAACAAAAGTTACTGAACCTAAATAAACCTAAACACTATAGAAACAAGGACACAGGGGACACTAAAGACAATCAAACTAATGACCTAAAGTGTTAAAGAACAAATACACTGAAAGGCTGGGGGGCAATAACACCTAAATGACACAAGGAGGGGAACCATGAAGGGACGCAGGAGACGAGCACACGGAACGCGGCGACAGCACGTTCTAATGAAAATGCACTTCAACAAAAGCATCATTCAGAAAATGTATCTGCAGCTGCAAACTTCTGGAAGTTTAAAAAAAACATTTACAATACTTTTTTTAATTAAGATAAAATAAGAAAATCTGGTATCACTTTACAATAAGGGTCCCTTTATTAACATTACTTAGTACCTTATTAAGCATTAATAAACTATATACTAAAGTATAAATAACTGCTTAACTGTGTTGCATTATTAAGCAGACACGCCCAGGACCGTTCCTTAAGGACACTTAGTATTTAAAAATAATGTTATTTGTAATAAAGAGAACCCTTGATTATTAATGCTTAATAATGCACTAACGTACGTTACTAAAGGGACCCTTATTGTAAAGTGTTACCAAAAAATATGATTTAGTGTGATTCAAAAGAACATAGACAAAGAATAAAAAAAACATTAACAGTAATTATCTGCCATGACAATAAATGTACACTCATTTAATAAAAGTGTACATCTGTGTACAAATGCAGGTTATAGATCCTTCTGATGGTTTCCATTCTGTTTAGCTTTGATAGATAGATATGTGCTTGTTAGTGTAATTATAAGCAATCTGAATATAATTAACTTGTTTCTGTAATAAAATGGAAGATCGGGAAAGGCCAACACCTGAAAGTTGAGCATTTTAATGATTTTACACCCAAACTAACACAATCAAGCAGATTTAGGCTCAGCTGCAGGTAGATGGTCCTCCCGTAAGACAGGCCTGCAGTGGGACGGTTGCACACAATCACGTCTCTGTTGGCATCAAACACTCAGTCTAGATCTTCAAATGTAAAACAGAAGCAGAAATTTCTTTCCTGAAGAAACGGCAGATGGGACGTAAACTGCAAGTCAGATAACAACGCAGCAGAATTCTGCAGCTTCCTGTTCGTTCTCCTTTTCCCTTTCAACTCTGGAGCTGGTCGTTTCCGTCGCAGGTGTCTCACGGGAAGGCCCTGCAGTGGTGTGAGCAGACCGGAGCCGAGTACTTCGAAGGAAGCGCCAAACAGGATGTGGACCTGGAGAAGCTGTTCCTGAGAGGCGCCGAGCGTGGACTGCAGCAGGTAACGGAGCCGGCTCGAGGTCAGGAAAGGAAGGGACGACATTTCTGTTTAACATGTTTATTTTTTGATGATAAAAGATACATTACTCCCTACAGTACAAAAAACACACATTGGAAAATACAGGACATTTCCAGATAACCTGCAAACAGCCGAGAGAAACTCCTCGCAACACCTGTGAGTGCTGAGGGGGGCACTCGTCCCAGTGTGGGGGGGCTCAGAGACCTCGGCACTGCTGATGATGACCTATCTAACAAGGGTGCAAAAATAGTGACCCAGCAAAGGTACTGTGGAGGGAAAGGACACAACTGTATACCACATGGAGAAGAACAAACTCATTAAATGTTTTTTTTTCCTTTTTCTTGTTTTTTTTTCTTGAGAAGCTTCAGCTTATGGTCTAACTTAAGGCATCACTACGAAAATACACCGCTTTTGCATGCATGTCTAGTTTTGCTCGACACACCGACACGCACAAACTCATGAATGCATATGAAGAGAACGTTTGTTTCTAGAAAGAAATCGAGAAGTCCCAAACTGAACCCGAGGCTCAGGAGGCGGCCTTGGCTCTGCCCGCTCGTGTCATCGTCCCAGTCGGCCCTTACTAACAGTTCTACTCGTGTCCAGTCAGAACCCCCCACCTTCACAGGTCTGGACCGGAACCGGCCTAGCTCTCCTACAGAGAAGCAAATCAGAACCATCAGGGAGACTAAATATATTCATATATATATATATTTGAATCTTTTATAAGTAAAGACATGAAAGGCAATCCAGAGATGACAGACATGTAAAAAGTTTGTTACAGGTAATTATATAAAAGGCCCAGATGTTTTTTTCTTTTGGTGTTGTTTTATTCTTGCTCTATGAACCAACTAATTTACAGGTGAGTACACTCCGGCTGCGAGTTTCCTTCCCAGACATCAAACAGGTCACAGTTAGCTTAGCGCTCCAGCTGTAGTCTGACACACGGAGCCGCGGGAGGAAAAACAAAATAAATGGATTCACATACATCAATAGAGTGAGGGACAGTAAGCCTACTAATATAATTTGTCATTCTAAAAATGAAAGATTCGCGAGCATACAAAGCGTCTGATTGGGGGTAGAGGAGGAAAAGGATCCAAGATCAGATGGTGACTTTCCTCCTGACCAGAAAATTCTGTTTGGCAAATGAAGCAACACATCAACTTAAAGTAAACAAAGTTAAAAAAACAAAAAACCTCTCCTCTCCCTGGGTCCACTGCGACGTTCCCTTCAGTCCTATAACCTCTGCGGTTCTACTTGGAACAAATACACGTCTTCTTTGCCTTCTGAACAAGAACATACAACCGACTCTTAAAAATATAGTGGCAACCTCGACACAGCCACCCCTCCTGCCACCAACACAAACTACGTGGATGAACAACAGTTAAAAAAACAACGTCTTCTTTTAAAATGCAAACATACAGATACACACAGGAGCGGAAAAAAAAGCTTTAAAATACAAAAATAAACTACACAAAAGATTTCTGCGTCGTTGCTAATTTTTTGGGAAAGGTTTTGGAATTTTTTTTTGTTGCCGTTTAAATGTGATGCAAGTCTCTGTCCTAGCAAAGTCCATCATGCCTTCTCCACAAATCTCCTCCGGGTTTGTCCACTCCAGCGTGTCTGCCACCGGTCCTCGTGTCGGGGGAAACAAAAGCGCACAGTGATGATTTTAGCAGGAGACGGGGGTCCAGTACGGCGACGGTACCGACGTGTTTCTCCATGAAGCACATTTGTTTTGAGCCAAAAACACAAAAGAAAGGAATAAAGAAAACGATGTCCTCGTCTGTGGAGGACAAGTGCTTTATTGGTTTCCATACCGACTCTTTCCTCTCGTCTAAACCAACGCCTCCAAAGCCGTTTGTCGACACTGTACAACATTTGGTGTAGTCTCTCTCTACATTCCCCCAGGATTCACCAAACACAGAAAAAAGAAAAAGGTAACATCGCGCGCGCTCAGGCAGGATCCCAGTTGGCTGAAAGCGTAAACGCTTCTCTACATTGTTCAACTACTTGAAACAAGCCAAAAAACAAGATGTTAAAAAGATGGAAAAGGGCGTGACTGAAAAAGAGAATGTGCTTCTAGGTTTTGGTGTTGCTCTAAAAATATCACAACCAACAGAACAAGTAGAGGAACGAAGGGTTTTATCTACAGAAACATCTCAGATCGACTTTAATCTCCGCTTCATGTCGCTGCTCTGCCTTTGCTGCCGTCTTGAACCGAGACGTGGGGGTGGAGGGTGAGATTAAGATGAGGAGGGGTGAAGCTCAGTCTTCCTGATAAAAAGGACAGTAGGAAAAAAAAAAAAGACAGACTAGGAGGGGATCTCTGGGGACCCTCACTGGTCCGTCCTTGCTTTCTTTAGACCAGCAGGTTTCCTGCAGGAGGACACATGAAACCAGCGTCAGTATGGCGTGTGTGGCGAGGATCAGCTCAGCATGAAACAAGGCAGCTGCACTTACATGTCAGGTGAGGCGCCCGGTCTCTTAGGAGCAAGTTTAGCAGATGCAGCATCTTTACCAGATTCTGTGAAGCACAACAACGATTAGTCAGTTTGTCAACAAACATTTTGTCACCGTGTGGGAATCTAAACGAACCCTGCAGCCATCGGACTTGGGTGGCAGGGCCGTAACCCTTCTCGTTGCGAGCGGCGATGCGGAAGATGATAGCTGGCTTCGTGGTGTAGTCGATGTGAGCGTTGGAGAGGCTGGACGACTGCACCAAGCATGACGGGTTGGGTCCACAATACACTCTCATGAAGGCTAGCTGAGCTGGGGTGGAGGCCTTGGCCTCGGTCGTCTGGTTGCTCTGGATAGCCAGGTACACAGAGTACTCAATAATCTTTCCTGAGGTCACAGACGGGGGCTCCCAGGTCAGGTGGGCTCCATCGGGACTCTGTGGACCACAGTGGGAAACAAAATCAGTGCTTTGTTTCAAAAGGTGGTCAAACAGTCACGATCCAAGACCGCTCTGGGATTCAAACACAGCCCAGTGCTAAAACAGGACTGTTTACCTTGCTGATCTTGATGGCACAAGGTGCCCCTGGAAACCCGGGTAGGCAAGTCTTGAAAGCAGAAATCTCAGAGAAGGCTCCACGACCACAAGCGTTAATTCCTGCAACACGGAATTTGTAAGCTGTGCCAGGCTGCAGCTCCATTTTCTTCATCTGACTGTAGTCGGGCACGACGCCAGAGTCATCCTACCAAACACGTGTGTGGTTAGAGACCATCTCAACACAAAACAGACATGAACGCTGCCCTGCAGCACACTCACATCTCCCTGAGAATCATCTGCTGGCACATAGAAGTGAGTCACAACCATATTTGTCACTTTCACAATTCCAACATCAAACCACTGGTTCTCCTTCTTCACAACAGGCTTCGCTGGAGTCGGCTGAGGGGCTTGTTTCTGGTCAGATGAAAGAATAAAGAGTCATGAGAGTGATGCTTCCACTCTGAGCTGTGACAGATGCCAATTATAAAATGTCTCACCTCTCCTTCGATGCCGTTGGCGACCTCTGCCAGTGTGGCTGCTGCTTGCAGCTTAGCTGGACTTGCTACTGATCCAGATGGTGCAAATGTACTTGAAGGCGCCAGAGCTGGATTTAGGGTAAAGCAGCATAAATTAGTTCCCCTACATGTACGAAACATCTCAGAATTCAAATAGAGTGATTGCAGACTCACTTTCAGCAGCGGTGCGTGGAAGGATGGACGCCACGGATGCAACGGAGGCTGCTATTTCGTTGTGTCCGTTGCTTTCCACAGACGGGTCGTTGAGGCTGTCAGCTGGTGCGAGGCCCTCAGTAGGTAGGCTGGTGTCCACCGAGGCCTGCTGGGCAGCAGCCTGGGCCTCCTGCAGCTGCTGCTGCTGTTGGACCAACGCTGCAAGCTCCTGCTGGGTCAGCATGATGGGGATGCTGGTGGTCTGCTGACCGTCTCCGGCAGCATCACCTTCATCTGTAAATGGTTAAATGTAAAGCTTAGTAAGTGCTTAAATCCGCTTCATAACTGCAAAAAACATTTTTTAATGACTGGATGTGATCTAACGAGAAGATTAGTGGAAGAATATTTTAAAATGATGTGTGCTTGCTCACTCATGACAGCCTGCTGCGCAGCTTGAAGAACAGCCTGGATGGCCAGAGCCTGGGCCTCCTCAGTGGCTGCTGCCTGAGCGGCGGCCTCGGCTGCAGCGGTCACAGCCAGCTCTTCATCCGACAGCCCCGTCACCATCAGCGTGGCTCCCTGACCCTCAGACATCAGCTCTGAGGGCAGGTTCAAGGCTGTCGCAGCAGCTGCTTCTCCCTGGAAGAAGACATTAAAAGCACAATGAAATGGGTGCAAAAAGCTGGAGCTCAGATCAAGTGGATTCTAGAAAGTGAAGCTAGCGCTGGCTGTTATCAGACGTCATGTTTTATTCACCTCTGCTTGTGTCTCCATTGCTGCAGCTGCCTCCTCCGCAGGTGCTGCTTCAGCTGACGCAGCCTCATCAGTTTGCATGGGTTCTTCTGTGGAGCTAGCAGCAGCGCTCGCTCCCTCTGTGATGGATGAAATCGACTGAAGGGGAAAGAACCACACAGATCAGATGCGTTACATAATGGCAGCAAAAAATAAACAAATAAACACATAAAAAAATTAAAATAAAAAAACAAACAAACATAAAAACATCTGTGAAAAGCAGAAAACACACAAAAACGCTAGAGTTTTCTTTACAGGTACTGAGGGCCCGGGGACCGGTGTGGACTGGGTGACAGTAGTGATGGCCCGGCCTTGGGTGGTGGCAGCTGGAGCAGCTGCTGCAGTACTGGAAGCTACCTCTGGGCTGCTGGTTCCTTCCGCTTCCTCTTCCGTCTGCTGGGCAGCTGGAAAAAAAACATCACCCTGACTGACTTCTCAGTTGCGCCTCTTACATTTGTTACACAAGCTAAGAAAGTCTTCATCTTGGTGAATGAAACATCCCAGTAAACAACCAGTCTGCTGTAGACAACCCTCATGCTGGTGGCTGAGCTGTGCACATGGCAGCACGTCTACCCATCAACCCCATCCTTAGACCAAACACTGCTAGCATACCTGTTCCTTCGCCAGTCTCCATGCTGCACGTAGCAGTGGTGGCAGTGTTGGTGGTCCCGGTCTCGTGTGTTTCACAGGGTGGGTTGGAGCAGACCCTCTGGACCAGGCCTGACGCTGTGCTGGTCTGATCTCCTCCCATGTTGGAGGTGGCTGTGGACGTAGTGTTGGTGGTCCCCGTCTCGTGAGTTTCACAGGGCGGTTTGGGGGGAACGCTCTGCACGGTGCTCGTCTCCCCTGCATTCATGGTGGATGAAGACTGCGTGGCTGTGTTGGTGGTCCCTGTCTCATGGGTCTCACAGGGCGGGTTGGAGCAAGCGCTCTGCACGGTGCCCGTCTCCCCTGTATTCATGGTGGATGAAGACTGCGTGGCTGTGTTGGTGGTGCCGGTCACGTGGGTCTCACAGGGCGGGTTGGAGCACACCTGCTGGACTCCTCCCATGTTCGACGAGGCTGTGGTGGCTGTGTTTGTTGTCCCTGTCTCGTGGGTCTCACAGGGCGGGTTGGAGCACACCTGTCCTGCTCCGATGGTGGCAGAGGAGGTGGTGGCGGTGTTGGTGGTTCCGGTCTCGTGGGTCTCACAGGGCGGGTTGGAGCAGACCAGGGTGACAGTCCCAGAGCCATCTCCAGCTGCTCCTGCATCGGTGGAGCTGGGTTGCTCAGAAGTCGGTGAAGCCAGAATGGAAACAGGGAGGTCTTGAATGGGTTGGGCCTCCACACCACTGGGAGTTGTGATCAGAGTGACCTGGGTGGGCTGGTTCTGAAACAAAACAAATGAATAAATCTGACTCTTTAAAGGGTCAAACAAGTGCATAAATAACCCTTTAAGTGCCAAAGTCGCAATGTTGAGACAAGCGTCATTGCTGACTTTAACGAGCCACAGCGACAAATATGATCCCTGATGACGTTACTACTTTCCACCAGAAGATGGTGGAGATGTGCAGCTTCAGGCTGAGCAACACTCATGAGTGTGTTTATATTGAAAGTTTCAGAGACTTTCGGGTTTGAAAACCACCTCCCGCCGAGAGGTTCCAGTCCTGGGAGAGGAGGAGAGATGTGCGCAGCATGAAGAGGTTGAATATTAGAGATAAAACTTACAATTGCCGGCAGGTCTGATCTTTGTCTGGTCATAACCAGATTATGAAGCAGAATATCTACTTTCTCATGAAGAATTCACTCATCCAGCTGAAAAGATTGACAAGACAGCTGGTGCTGCACAAGCGTACGGTGTATGGAGCTTACAAGCTCCAAATGTCGGGTTTGAAGTTTGTTTCACCGTGTTTGGGACATGATGGATGTAGAAATTATGGTAAAAACACAGCTAATGTGACAGATGTAGCAGCAATGTAAAAAACTAATAAATAAAAAGCTGTAAATAAATAAATCGGCAGATGCTTTTGTTAAGTACGGAAATCAAAGTGTGCCACATAATTAGGGATGCAGCTATCGAATATTTTTGTAATCGAGTACTCTATAGAATCATTTATCGAGTACTCTAATAAATGACCCTTATGTGTTTGTAAACCATTATATCAAATAGCATGTTATAAAATATGAAAGACCTCTTAAAATGAGCACGCAACTGCCAGTTATTCTTCAAGTTTTATTTAAAATTAGTTTTCAAAACTTCAACTTTACTTCACAGTAAACAAATGTCTGTGCAAAAAAATAAGTAAACAACCTGAGCCGACATTACCCTCGTGCGAGAATCTACCGGCACCAGAACCAGAACCGCTCACGGCGCATGCGCAAACATGGCTCACCCGTGGTTTTGTCAAATTATACTGATCACAAAACATTTATTTACTTTCTTTCGTTTTCCTCTGATAAATACCCGCGTCCTCCTGAAGCAATCCTGAGGGACAAGACTTCAATAACACAATAAAAAGTCTGACGTGTTGTAAAAATTGCTGTTTTTAGCACATTTTTGGTCCGACGTGTTGCTACCAGATGTACGGTGTGAGCTGAAACTGAGTGCTACAAATAAAAAAGTTGACCAGTGTCCGCAGAATATGTACCAGACCTCCGAGTCCGCCTGCAGAAGAGACATTTACATGTGGATGTTTGCTGGTCAGGTGCTGCAGCATGGAGGATGTGGTGTTGTGGTAGGCTAAATCCATTTTACAGTATTTACACTGGACTATAATTTCCGCCTTACGACGTGAAAAATGGTCCCAGACCTTTGACATTTTCTGTCTTTTTCGCACTCCACCGGGGTCCACGTTGTCCGCCACGGCTAAAGAGAAAGTTAAGTTACATTTGCTACTCGCGTGTGCATTCAGTGCAGTGTGTATGTGCGTCAGTCCGGGTGAAACGTGACCCTGGGTGATTGCAAAGCCATGAATTAATTAAACATGAATTAAACGAATCCTCGAGGCAGAGAATTTGACTTGAGGATTTTTTGTACTCGACTTATTCGAGGTACTCGAGGAATCGTTTCAGCCCAAGACATAATCATAAAACTATTCTTTCCCTTGCATCAAATGATCATTACATAGGGTTGTCACGGTAACCGGTATAGCGGTAAACCCCGGTAAAAAAGTTGACAATAAAAATAACCGTCCAGTTTTTTAAAAACTATATTATCTCGGTGGGTTTACCGTGGCCGCGGTTTCGGCGCGATGACCCTTACCAGCCACCGTCGCTTCAGCTGAAGTTCCCGCGGCGCGCACTTTTTAGTTTGCAACGGCACCAAAACTTTGAAGCTGAAATAATGGCCGAAGGAGGAGATGGCAGCGCCCAGGACATCCATCAGCCCTCAAAGAAGACTAACTCGGAAGTATGGGCATATTTGGGATTTCTGAAAAACGCTGAGGGACAGTTAATAGAAGACTGCTATCCCGTTTGCAGAACGTGCAGGAAACAAGTGTCTGCAAAAGGTAACACTTCGAATCTAATGGCACATCTGCGTGACCATCACCCACGTCTCTACAGCCAGTGCAAGGTAAGTTAACATTAGCATTTTAGCTTAAATGCATGACGTGAGGACTTTTGGTTGAGGGAGAATGCAACGAGTCACTATATACTGCAGCCGCAGCGTCCTCTGCCAGCATTTAAACCGTGTCACGGACACCCTGTTGCTGGATGAAGCATCTTATTTGTTGATGATGAAGAGAAATATACAATTAGTTCCTTGTCATTGATTTGTTTACTTATTCAATGCCATTTATACTTGGACATTTGGATTTGATTACATAGTGTAGTAGTTATTTTAGTAATTTGTTTAAAGTGGCTATTTATTTTAAATACATATTTTAAGGTTGACTTGTACAGTGCTCAAGTCAAGTGTGGACTGGAGTTTTAGATTTTCATTTTGATAATGAAGAAAACAAGTATATGAGAAAACAAGTGGTGTTTCTTTGATTTGTTTACATATTGTTTATGTTTTGAATGTTTGGATTTGTATAATTTAAACCTGCACTGACTACTGTAACATGTTCCAGGAAAATAAGCTATTTGTTCCTTTACTTGTGAAAAGTTGCACTTTTGCTAAGGCTTTGTGTTATTTTAGGTTTAATAAACACTGTTAAACTATTTCAGTTTGTGTAGAACAGGACTATCAATGCTTTCTGAACATATGCAACACCGTTTAAAAAATACCGCGATAATACCGAAAACCGTGATAATTTTGGTCACAATAACCGTGAGGTTAAATTTTCATACCGTGACAACCCTATCATTACATTCAAGGGAAGGACGTCCCTGAAGCCGTACAAGCTCAAAAAACCTGAGATGGGTCTGGAAATATATGGAAAAAGCATTTCCCTTGAGTGAGGGCAATATAAATATCAAAAAATACAATATAAAAGATAAAAATTCTCATTTAAATCTCTCTCTCTCGTTACATTTCTAAATAACTTTTCTAAATAACCCTAACCCTAAAAAATAAGAAGGAACATCTGTAAAAACGATGCATTCCAATACGGCAGCCTGATGATGTCATAATATGCTAATCAGATGAGTGAATTAGCTCCCAACACAAACTTTGGGTCCTACTGAAGATGTTTCTCTTTTACAGTCTACCTTTATCTCTAATCATTTCCAAGCTACAACCTTAAATAGTTATGTCAAAACTGAACATTTTCTTGAGAAAACTCCGGCGCCCAAAGGGTTAACAGCAGATCGTCTCTAACACCAGCATCCTGGCTACAGCTCAGGACCGCTGGGCCTTACCTGTACTGTCATAGTGGGCGAGGAGAGCGAGGAAGTAGAAGTCAGGCTGGTCTGGGCAGCTGACACAGTGATGGCAGTTGGGTTGATCACCTGGCTGGACAGCGTGGCAATGGTTCCCAGTGTGGTGCTAGGCGTTACCAGTGAGGCACTGGAACTGTCGGCAGCGCCTCCAGCCAAGGCGGTGGACACGGTGCCAGTGACTGTGCCCAAAGTGGTGACTCCTGGAGGAAATGAAGGTAATGTGCTAAAGAGAACACTTTAAATAACAAAATGTGCAGTCACAACCAGTGTGCTCACCAGTAGTTCCCTTGACAACCAGAGTGGTGACGGTGGGTTTAACAGATGACACGGTTACTGGAGTAACCAGACGAACGCCACCCACCGTGCTCATGGGCACCGTGCGCAGAATAGTTCCAGGCTGTCCAGGAGCACCCTTTAGCACCACCTAGGAACACACACACCCGCTTTAGATGCCACACGATGACAGCTGCTGCTCTGATGGGTCACCGGGCCGGTCAGTACCTGCGTCAGGCCCTGCTGCCCAGCTGCAGTGGTGAGTTTGGGCACTGCCGTGATGATTTTACCAGGAGTTCCAGTGGTCATTACCTTTGTGGTAAGGATTGTTATAGGTGTTTTCATACCTCCACTGCTTGTCACACCTGAAAAAACAAAACATGAAACATTTTCTCACATCAACTGGAGACTAAAATAAGTCTGGATACCCGACTGTCATTTGTATTTTTTTCTTCCTCTCGTTGGCAAAAAGGAATAGAGCTAAAAAAATAAATAAAATAAAGCTAACCTGTGGCTCCTGGCTGAGTCATGATGGCCGACATGGGGATAGTCTTGATGATGGTGGTGCCCTGCTTAGTAGTAGTAGGAGAAACCCCGCTTATGTTGAGGATAGTGGGCTTGTTTCCGGTGCCCCCAGCCTGCGTTGTGGTGATGATCGTTGTGGGTTTGCCATCTGCAGAAGTCACCAGCTTCAGAATGGTGCCAGCTGGGAGGGGACCCTTGGTCTGAGAACAAAAGCACCTGTTAAACAAGCCATTTGGGGGGAAAGCCACCTGCTGCCCATCTCAGGAGTTTAAGCTACCTCCTGTTTTTTTTTTCCTGCACTCATGCAGATAGCTGACCTGTATGATCTGTGTGAGAGGGTTAGTGGAGGCCTGGCCTGTGACAGCTGATGTCTGCACTGGCTTGGTTTGCACCACAGACATCATCTTGCCAAGGTTGGAGATCTGCCAACATAGGAAAGAGACTCAAACTCACGAGTCACAGGGAGTTCAGCGGGAAGGCGGACCACTAAACCTGCGGCTTTGGGTCATTTCAGCCCTAACTGAACTACAACCATGCAGATGACTAACATCATGCTCCCTGCTTTCTAACTCCAGCCCTCCAACAGTCACTGTAGGCCAGCTAACACACACACACACACACACACACACACACACACACACACACACACACACACACACACACACACACACACACACACACACACACACGGTGATTTATAAAATCCAGGATTTATTAAAGCACCACTTTTATAATAAAATGTGTTGCACGATTCCTGGTTTCTTACCAGAGTGCCACTGCCACCCATGGTGAGGGGACTCTTGACCAGAGTGATGGTTTTGGTGACTCCTCCCACCACAGTGGTGACCACCTGGGCCTGCTGAGCTACTGTGACAGCACCAGACTTGTGCACAGTAATGATGGGTCTAGTGGTGGTGGGAGAGGAGGCAGTCGCAGTGCCCGCCTGGGCTGCAGCAGTCTTCAACATCCGGGTAGCTGGGTTACTGACCTACAAGCACAAAACCATCTTGACTTAACTGACACACTGTCGCCGGGGACACACCGGCCGCGGAAGCGCCGCGAAGCGAATCGCTCACGAAATTCGGCCGCTGCTCGCCGCTCCTCAGTTCAGATCAGACGCGCCCCAGTCGAGGCGCGCCTCGGCTCAGCTGTAGTTTTTCTTTTAAAACACTTGGTGTCCTCAATTTCCTCTCTGCCTTTTCTCAGCTATTTTCCTCTACGTGTGTGCGCGCGCGCGCGCGCGCGCGTGTGTGTGTGTGTGTGTGTGTGAACCTATGGTATGAGTTGTTTCTGCCAGTTGAATCTCTTGGAACCCGCTCCAGTTCTGCAGCTGTATCCTAGCAGTTTCTTCCTAAATGGGTACGTAAATAATCATGTTTTTCGGGGGTCGTACAGCTCCTTGTGTTTCTCAACTTCCATAATTAATTTAAAGTCATCCATCTTAACTGCTTGCCTCGGACTTTCTGCCTCTCTGTCCTGTTTGCTCCGGTGAAAAGACACCCAAAACCACACACCCCTTCACGTGGTCACACACGCACACAAGTTCGATGTGTGTGTGTGTTCGTGTGGTTTTTCTGCAGTGTCTGATTACGAACACATTTGACTATTGCGGAATTTTATTTTGAAATGCTTTATTTTGTTAACTTTACCGGCCTGCCTCTTATGTCTAGGTTTGACTTCCTGCCAGAATTGACGCGATTCACCCGCGGCTCGCGAAAAAAATAGAGCCGAAGCCGAAATGATCGCTGCACGGCGCGGGCGCCGGTGCGAGGCGATTCGCGGCGCTTCGGCGGCCCATGTGGTCTATAGAATAGCTCAACAAGGGCGCCGAATGAAGGCGACCCCATTTTCGCGGCGCTTCCGCGGCCGGTGTGTCCCCGGCCTGTGTCTGAACACCCAGCATGTTCTAGTAGGTACCATTACTGGAGAAGCCACTTTGACTGTGGTAGTGCCTGGAGAAACAGCAACCGTCTTCAGAATGGTGGCACCTGGAGGAACATTGAGGACAGTTCCTGCAGATGAGGGCGGGATCTTCTGTGTGGCTGCAGCTGCAGCAGCCAAAGCTGCCATGCCACTCATCTGAGGGCTGCTACCGATCGGCTAAGAACAAAGAAAAAGTACAACATTCCTGAATTCATCTGTTGACACAACAGTGAGACACCACACCAAAGCTCTGAAAGACTGAGTGCTGTGTGAAAACAGCCGTACCGATCCTTGGGTGGTTTGGGTAGGCACTACCATTCGAACACCGGGAGGAAGGGATGTCACGGTGACGGGGGATTTCCCCGGCTGGCTGGGGCGAACTGTGACGACAGACGCACCAGTGGCAGACTGCTGAGCTGCAACCTTTAAAACAGCTGCAATCACAATACACATCATCAAGACTTTATGCTGAAGTAAGTGAGGAGTTTGGATCTCGCTGTCCTGATTGTTACCCGTGTGTGGTAAACTCTGAGCAGAAGGTGCTGCAGCAGCAGGCACAGGGCTCTTTGGGGAGTTAACAGGCTGTGATGGGGTTGCACTCGTGGCTGGTGAGGCTGCTGCTGGGGTTGCTGGGATGTCATACTTCTGCAGCTGCAGCAAGTACGTGTCGGCGGTGGAAACGGCCCCCCAGCTCACTTCCAGAGAGTTTGTGTTGGCACGGACGAGCTGTACTCTGGCTGGAGCATGTGGCCGCTCTGAAAGATGAATAGCATCATTAAAATAAATAACAAAAAAGTGCTTTGACCTTATTATCACCCATGAGCACACTTACCTGTTTCAAGGTACCAAAGGTCTTTACAACAGACCTGGTTGTTCCACGCTTTACGATAACCGTCGCGACCACTCCACACGTACAGCCTGGAGTTGATGGCCACAGCGCAGTGGCCAGCACGGGCCCTGGGTATGTTGTCTTCCAGAGTATCCATCAACACCGTCTCCCAGCACATGGTGTCTAAAAGAACAAGGCAGCGTTTAGCACTGGAGCAACCTCTTTCACTCTGCATTCTGGTGTCAAATCTGATGGTAAACAAACCCAGATTTAGGCAGGCCAGCGTGTTTGTACATTTCCACTCTTTTTCATGCGTGGCTACTTTAACATCATCCATCACCAAGGGAACCCATCCTCCAAAAACATACATTCTGCAATGAGAGAAAAAAGAAGGAATCAGTCAGATCCTGCCATCAGGAAACGTTTTACAGATTTCTACCATCAGAACACAGATCTACACTCAACAGCCTCCTCACTTGTTTGTGATTGTGGTGGCAGAGTGAAGACTCCGTGGAAGTGGTGCTGTTCCACCTACTGATGGTTTGTTCCAAGTCAGGGTATCTAGGGATAAAGACCGTCTCACATTAGTCAACTCTACTCACTTCTCCATCAAACTTGAACCCATCTCTTCTCTTTCTCATAAGAAATGTTCCGTTTCCAACACATCATCAGATACTAGTTTAGGGTGGCTCCTCCTCTTAAACATACCAATATCCAGAGTCCACAGATCTCCAAGACGACATCCACTCATCCCTCCATAGATTATCAAACGGGATTTCCTGGTGGTCTTCTCTGTGTACACCACAGCGGTGTGACTCTCACGGGGAGGAGGCAGAACTCCATATGTGATTGGAATATCCCATCCAACCACGCTAGAACCTGGACGAAGCTCAAGCGTGTACAGATCATTCAGGTATCTGAAATTACAAAACAAGACAGAAGATCAGAGTCAAGCAGAGCAGGGGTGAGCTGAGGAGTCTGACGGTGACAACCGTCCTTACCTGGGAATGTTGTTTTTTGGGTCTTCACTATCATTGGCCAGTCCACCAAACAAGTAGCATTTGTTACCAACCAATGAAAAACTGTGGCCAAGGCGAGGACAAGGAGGGGGGCCGTTTTTGGGATTTTTTGCTTTCAGTTTTTTCCATTCCCATCTGCTGGCCTGGGACAGACCGCAGAAACAACACGCCGTTAGTAAATCAAGGTGCTAGAGTTCTGGTAGTGATGGTTACGTTTGTGTAAAAATTAAATGTATTTTATCCCAACTCTGCTGAACAGCATTTATCTCGTCTATCTTTCAACTTTCCTGAATTCAAATTAATTTGAAGCTTACATTTTAATGACTTTACATTTGAGTGTTTAATTATAAAGTCAGAAAACCTTAATCCTTTAACTTGGAAATGGAAGATTTATTCCATCAATAAGCTCCTAAAGCAGCCAGACAAGATCCAATTCAGCCACCCTGCTAAAGTACTACAGAACAACACATTTGTTACATAATATTTTGTAAACAAGTTCAATTTATTTACACTAGAAATTTGTACTAATAAACACCCCATTGCATTTTTAAAAACAATACTTCAATGTACAAATTCACCTAAAAAAAGTAAGAGAGCGATTACCTGTAGTTCATAGAGATCATTGCTATACTTTCCATACTCCACCATCCCACCAAACACCAACAACCGAGTTCCATCACAAACAAAACCATATGCAGCACAACCAGGAGGAATATCACCACGAACCGCTGGGATAAACCACTGGTTTGTTGCTGAAATCAAAACAAAACAATGTAAAGCTCATTTATATACGCTTTTGTTTTTACTCCAGAAGTCAAAATTATGTTATTACTAAGGTAAGGATAAAACTCCCACAGTTAGTGCCAACTCTAAACAACTTCTTAGGATACTGATCCAACTAACTTTGGGATTTAAAACAGTAAATAAACATTAATTTTATGTGAACTGTGATCACTTATTAAAAACATTCTACATACAAAAGAACAGATGGTTTCACTAGTAAAGTATTCATGTACTTGTCCCTAATTAGACCGATTTGAATGAGTTCAGTGGTTCTGGTTAAAGAACAGGAAACGAGGCAAACTTAAACCAACCATCATCATCCATTTTATTTTAGCCCGCCTTTTTTCACCCTGGAGTGACATGCAGTCTCCAGCAGGGGGAGACAATGTGTACAGAAGCGGGCTTGTTTGGCCTACTCAGGCCTACACAATGTTTAACTTCAAATATCTTAAATTTCTATTAAAGCTGGATGTTGGTATGCAACGTGGTGTTCATTTATTCGATAACGTACTGTTACATGTGCCAATATACCGAGCACGGCACTGTTTCGGCTACATTCATACAGCTGTTCCAGTTTTATGATGGAAGCTAAACTTACCGGTGTTGTACACATGTAATTCATCAACAATCCCCTCGTTGCCACCACCAAAGACGACCATAAGCTCCTTTATTGCCACAGCTCTGTGTCCATGCCTGGGTCGGGGAACCGGACCTGACCACCCGAGGACCCGTTTCCATCGCGGCTGCAGAACCGACGCAGTGGTCCCGGTCACTGCGGAGCCTGGGGCAGACATGACTTCTGCCAGAAAACAAAACAAAAAAAAAATAAACTTGTTTTATCGCCCCAAAACTATCGTGCCGTTTGTAACACCATAAATCTAAAAAGACATCAGCAGCATGTAACCGACGAGAGCACCAAACCAGTCAAATATTCGGGGGGGCTTGCTGCTAAAGTAGCTTGAGGGCTAAAAAACTGTTAGCGGTAAACTTCGATTGAAAGATGCACTCACGCTAAACAAGATGCAATGCCTTAATTCAAGCCTCTCGTTACTTATACGTAGTTGTGTAAATACCCAGTTATCTTGATAAATGCATGTTTTTACCATCACGTAAATTTCCTCCAAGATATTTGAATTCAATCCGTGGAAGCAGCCATCTCACAACCAAACAAACCGCCGCTAAAGCTACTGCCCTTCTGAAAAATGGCGGAAGCGAATTAAAAGGCTAAATACATAGACACTAACCGATAGCACCGGCAAAAAATACTATACAACATCGTGTTCTACATGTGCAACTGCATCTGAGCAAAACTAATAATATACAGCTGTAACTTGAATTACACCCTAATTTAGAATTGTTAGCAAGAGTCGTCTTATTTTCATGCCTCTCATTTTGTAGCTAGCAACATTAGCATTTTACAACGATTTAACGCAAATAACCTTAAAAAGTATCCTCAAGCGTGCGAATACACTGTTTAATAATATGACAACTCACAACTACAGTCGAATGGTTTGTCGTTATTGTGATAAAAACGGGCTATTTGTGACATCCAAACAAACTGTTAGCTCCATTAGCTCCTGCGGCTAGCCTGTGAGCTTAATTTGCCCATGCTAATAGCGTTAGCTTGCGGCTCGCAACTGTCAAAGCGTCGTCCAATTTCACAATTAAATTCGACATAACTTCAAATAACCTTCGCATGCACAATTTACCCGATAGAGAATTAGTTGCACAAACACCTCTGAAACTGAGCTACATGCAGGTAAACCATGAAAATGCTGTATTATTCTGTTTCATGCCGTCTCTGGAAGCAGCCATCTTTTCGACAATCGGCCTCTATCGGCAGCTCCCACAAGAAAAATGGCCGGGCGGTTTGCTACAACAAAACATAACAAACCCGAAAAAGACACAAACATTTCAAAGTTTTACTCACTTTATCCGATGCAGTAGATGTAAAAACACTGGTATGTGCTCTTATGTTGTGTCAATAATCCACATTCATTCGATTTGTAGAGAAGTATTTGCTCTCATGCCTGCCTGGAAGCTGCCATCTTCTTGACAATCAGAGGCGGAGGAAAATGGAAGAGTCACCCAAAGTAAACATGGCGACGCAGAGCCGCTCGATAACAACTTCACAGTCTAACACCGAAACACGGAATTTTTTATTTGCCATTGTGAGCTTGTAAACGTGTTTTTGTATCTGGATATACTTTAACAATACTTGAAATCCCCATACTGTAAACATATCACGATTTTTATGAATTTATAACAAGTTGTGTGTTCGCGGTGGGGTTATTGTCCCATACTAAAGATGGCGACATCCGTTCTGGAATCTTTATTTTCTTATATCGGGTAACGAATATTTTATTTCTCAGCAACAGACGTAGCGATGTTCAAACGTGCACAGTGACAGTGTGCGTGAACCAGTTCACAAAATAAACTTTGTTAAATTTTAATGTTGACACACCCACGTTAGCGCGCCTCCCCACAAACACGCACATACACGCGCGTGTGCGAGGCAAGCTTTTTTGTGGCAGTACAGTTGTTTTTATTGTCGTGTTGCATAAAGAGCGAGCCCCTTTATAAATTATTAATACAAATGCAATATACTTTTAATATATTTCTAAACTAAACTGCATCAGTCTAATAATATTTTGTGCTACATTTAAGCATAACTCTTAACTAAATTTAAGAATGTTGTTCACTCACATTTTCAAATGAAGCCTATATACATTTTTCAATTTCTAAAGGGTTTTTCATCTAATAAAATACAATATCAATTTACAATCTACATAAATAGAAACAGAAATCAATATGGATTCTGAAATTTTATTTCTCCTCAAGGGTTATTTAATGATAAGACTGGGGTTTGTAGATCTATCAGAATGGTTATGATAGTGTAAGATAAACTACCCAACAGAACAGAAACCTCTTTGAGTTTACTTTTAGCTACATATTTTGTCTTATGGGACGTGCTCCTAGGTACTGATAGTATTCTGTTGTGCTGTAAAGGGAATAAATGTTCAGTAGCAGTGGTTGTCTTTGGTTGTAATACGTTTTATTTCCTTTAGATGGCAGGTTTGCATTCTTCTTGAAAGCCTCTTTCACAGAAACACACAAATCAGAGATTGTTTTAGATTCGTTCTCCTACTTCACAATCACAGTAATCTTATCATACATTTAGGACAAATTTAAAGGGAATCTGGGTTAAAACACACATAACACACACACACACACACACACACACACACACACACACACACACACACACACACACACACACACACACACACACACTTTTAAACGTGACCCATTTGCAGTACTTCTGCATCTTGTTTCTTGCCCATAGAGACTTACTCACCTATATGTCAGATTAATTTCTGATTAAAATATGTTGAATAATAAGCTCACTTTTAATCAGCTTGCTTTGAAGCTGTTTATGGATCTTGAAGAAAAGGTTTATGCACGCTGTCTAATCAGTCCCTTGATATGCCTTTGGACATGAAGCCGTTGAGTAAGTACAAATGTCTAAAGAATGGTCACTTTTGACTTGCTAATCATCACTATCTCCTTGCTTTTATCATGAATGTCACAATTATTTATACTTGTACCGGCTGAATAGTCATGGTCCTTACAACCAACAGTCTTCATGTCATTGCTCGTGTCATTGCACTCAAACCTGTTGAACATCTTGTCAAACACTTTGTACACCCATTTTGAAAACCCTATTTTTAAGGAGTTTCCATGGAAATCTCCATAAATTACTGTTCCCAGGTGAACCTCACACTAATGAAATTGGTGTGTGTCCTGGTGACAATCGGACGATGTATGTAGTGGTTTGGGATAATGTTAGCTTCCATCACTCTGCTGTAGTCGGGCAGTGGTTTGCAGCACACGACAGGATGCTTATGGAGTTTCTTCCTCCTTACACTCCATTCCTAAATCCAATAGAGGAGTTTTTCTCTTCCTGGAGGTGGAAAGTTTATGACCGGCATCCACATGAGCAAATGGCCCTGCTAGCAGCCATGGATGCAGCATGTGACAACATCACAGCAGAGTCCTGCAGAGGATGGATTTGCCACTCCAGGAGATACTTTCCTCGCTGCATTGCGAGGGATGACATCCGTTGTGATGTAGATGAAAATATGTGGCCAGACAGACAGAAACGTCTGGATGTGCCAGAATGATTTACTGTACCTGTATGTTACAGGACTGTGCAATACTGTATGTACTGTTACATGTACTGTATATTGTTCACATTTGTGCACAGCTCTACCAAAAGGGTGATTTTATGTTTACATGTATTCTACAGTAAACAAGTGACTGTAGCATATTTTTCTTTTGCACAATGCTGTAGAATTACAAACACTTCTATACTGAAAACTCACTACTTCAACCTTGCATATAATACATAGTCATGGACCACTTTCGACATCTGCATTCTTTCTACAATAGAATGAACTATAATTAACATCTGTATTACTGTGGTTCTTTCATATGTTTTTATCTGTTGTTTCACATTCCTTTTGTGTTTTTAGTGTTTTACGACTGTTAGTTCTAGTATTTTCTTGTTTTCATTTTTTTCTTATAAACTATGCTTTAAATGTCATTCTGTACGTGTTAATTAACTGTAATCTTTTAATGTACAGCGCCTTGTCTGGTTGTAATGCCATGTTGAATGCGCTTTATAAATAAAATGGTATGGTATGGTATGGTATGGTATACAGTAAAAATGTAAAACGTACGTATTCAGTGTCTCAGTTACTCCCAAACTCCCATAACATCTACAGTAACTTTACTGCACATTTCAAATGGCTGTACCAGTAGGGCATAGTGCTGTCTTGAGCATTTTCAGGTGTCACCAAATATTCTTGCAACGGAAAACACTGAAATTATAAACTGTCATGGTGAAATCATGACAAAGCCATTTGACTATCTTGTTCATAGAGATGGTGTCAAGACTTTTCATTTTGATGGCACTGACAGTTTCATTGACATGAATACTTGCTTTTGAGGAATGGATTATCAATTTTGAGCATGTGACGTGCTTTTGCAGGCTATCCACTAGGTTTTGCAGTTTGCACCAATTGTTTTGAGAAATGCACTAACTGCTGTGCAAATGTTAATAGTGTTCTGAGAAACGCACCAAAGCGACTGAGAAACACTGTAACACACATTTAGACATATTTCAGATCAATATTCGAGAGTCATGGGTGTTTTGTGTATATATAAAAAGTTTCAGATGGTTGAGTTCAGCTCATGAAAAATGGGAGCAAAAACAATAGTGTTGCATCAGTAATTTTGTTCAGTGTGCAAGGCAGTTCCTGATGTTGTTTCTCTTGATCGCTTATAAGATATTTCCTTGGTTTGTCATTTTAAACACTCCTAAAAGTACATGTACCGTTGCTAGAGATGACCAACAAGAAGTGAACAAACCAAACCGTTCACACCATCTCACACACACAGAACGAGAGCTCCCTTTTGACAGCAGCAAAGATGGAACTGGGTGTGAAACTTTTACAACATTGAACCTTTATCTCAAACTGTTCAATGTTTTATTTACCTAAAGTTATTCATGAAATGTAGTCATTTTAAGGTAGAAGAAATGTTAAATCCATGTGTCCACACACGCACGCACACACACACACACACACACACACACACACACACACACACACACACACACACACACACACACACACACAAACACACACACACACACACACACACACACACACACACACACACACACACACACACACACACACACACACACACACACACACACACACGCACGCACGCACACACACACACACATATGACACGGAATGAATTAGATACGTCATGGCAAACGTGAATGGGTAAACGGATAAGAGAGTCCAAGAATAGTAAGCGCATCCCAAAAGGTGACTCCCTTAAAGGAAAATAGGGCAAAGTTGTGAATATACCTAAACACACAATCCTCTAAGAGCAGGGTTCTTCTCTGTAATCATATATCATTCAGGTCACTTTTCGTTATTTCATTATCATTGTATACAAATTGTGCAAATTTCAAGTTAAAATAATGTACTCACTTGTTCGAATCTGCTTTCTTGATTCGTCATCTTCTTAAACTAAACCTAAAATCCCCTGATAAATTAGTTGTTGTTTCTTGTAATTACAAGATGTTATTCGTGCTCATTCCTGATTGCTGTTAGACTCTTCATGCTTTCATTATGTGGCTGCTTGACCACTGCAGCTGTTTATTGATGATTTTACCATGGTACAATGTATTAACACC